CTAATCAATACTATCTGCACACTATGATTACGGTACTGTAGTGATCATGTTGTGATGTCTTAATCATTCAACTTTTGCAAGATACTATCATAAGTAGCATATAAAGATCAAAGAGATCCAGGTGTCCTAAGAGATTTTTGTCTTGCATTCTGCAACAAACCTCATGCTAACAGCTTGCCCTGGACCGTCCTCGAGACTGCCTAGCACTAATAAAACAGCACCATCCATCAAAGATGACATCATAGAAACTGTTCTGGAAAACCCGTCTTCTAACTCCCAAACTCTCATATTGTCACATTCCTGACTGCTGTTTAAAAGCCCTGCTTGCCTTTCAGTCATGGAGATGGTGCTGTAAGAGTCTTGGACTCTATTGTTCTCTCAGTTGTTATTGCCTGTAATAAATCCTTCCTCTAAGCAAACTCTCATCTCAGAAGTTGGTTTACAGTGTGACCAGCAATTGGGTCCAGTCTGCACATGTCTGGTAACAGCAGATGCCTATTAAATGCCAGGTGCTTGATGAGTTTCCTCAAGGTAAATTCAGGGGCATGTCCCATATCCAACAGTCTCAGATTCTTATTCACACCTTTTGGTTAACACCTCATTGTGTAATCTGAACAGGTAGAGGGTGAAATGAGGATTGTTGTAGACTCTGTTGACAACAAGGCACACAGATGGTCACTAATTTGGCAATTATTTATTTAGGTCTTATGTAGCATTTTCATTTTTATGTAACCCTTTGATTGGGTGGCTCCTGGCAGCTTGTAAATCCTTTCCATGCTTTTTTGGTGAGTCTCCCCAAAAGCCCATTAAGCCAATTAAGTTGGAGGATGTGAGAAAGTGAATCTGGAAGTGGAGCAAGTGAAACTGATTTAGTGTGAGAGACAAAGCCACCTGGGTCAATGGGAGGAGGCTTCCGTTCCTTTAGCTCCTGATCAGGATGCTATGGGAGAGATGGATTTAGGTCCTACATGGATTCTGCCTCCAAGCTGAGCAGCAGTCGACTAGAGATGAGGCCTCCATACAGAAAACTGAAATGCCAGGGGCAAGTTGTGAAGCACCACAGGAGTGAGTAGTGCTAAGACTGCGCAGTCAATGTAGAGATGGGAGAGAAACGCGTGTTGTGGGGGATGCTGTGGTGGTAGGCACAGAGGATCAGAGAATTTTTTTGTGTGTGTGCGGATGTTTTTGTTATAGGGTGCATGCGCTCACCAGAAAGACAGAGATAGACAGAGAGACAAAAAGTGAGAAATCACCCCCCCTCCCCAGGGGGGATGGCCACACTGCAATCCCTTCTTCATTCTCCTCTCAGGATCTTGGGCACGCACGCACACACGCCTGGCGTGAGTTTAAGCTGCTGGGTCTGGGACTCGAACCGTGGTCAACTATATGAGAGTCCAGTGACATAGCCATTACACCAACTGCTGGTCTCTGGGGAATGTTTTTTGGAAGGGACAGCGTTTGACCTGGGTCTTAACGGTGATAGGATTAGATGTGCAGAGAAGACAGGAAAAGTATTCCACGAAGCAGGTGCTTCCTAAGTCAAGGCAGAGCTTGGAAAATGTAGCGAGCATGTTGAAGTGTTGAAGAGCAAAGTAGCTCCTCCTGGCTGAAGCAGGTGGTCCACAGAAGAGAAAAACTGAGGCACGGAGTCAAGTCTTTGGAATAAATCCTGGGAAACCCAAATGCCAGGCTGTGAGGGATGTAGTTAGTGGTACAAAGATCAGTTTGAGAGTCTGATCTTCTGGGTTTGAAATCTGGCTTGCTGCTGAGTGAACTTGGGCAGCTGCTCCACTGGGCATCAAAGCCCATCCAACCTGCCCTCTCTATGACCTTGTCATGAAGCTGCAACAAGGATTCAAATAATCCATGTAGAACACTTCGCACGGGCAAGTGGTAAATATTTATTCAAAGGTAACAGGCATGACTGTGATGTGGTAATTAAGCAGCTGGATCCCACATGACTGACTCCACAGTTTGAGTCTCAAACTTGGTGGCTTAAAGAACATGCCAGACATGTATGTGTGTATACTCAAAATCCTGAAAGTAGAAATGGGGAAAAGGGATTGAGGCATAGTCATCCTCATGGGGTGTGCTTTCTCACTTTCTCTCTCATTCCCTCTGTCTCCTGCCAACACACATACATGCCTTTTGGCAAAAAAAATTTTAAAAGGTTACATATGTATTGTTATTTTTGTTGTTATTAAATGGTGAGATTTCATGAAACAGTATCTTGAAATATGCAGGAAAGGAAAATTGGGATAAAGAGAGAATTTATTTTGGAAATATTGGATCTTTTGACCTCTCCTGTGAGCATCTTTTATTAATGATGAGTTGTTGATGTGAACATACAATTTGCTTTGGTGCTTGAAGGGCCTAACACCATTTATTCTGAGTCAAAATCAACCATTGTGTAGAGCATAGTATTGAATTTGATTTTCTAAAAAAAATTAGAGTTTAGGTAGAAAAAACAGCTCAGTTCCAAGTTCACTTTAAAAAGATTTATTGAGCACTGTCGATGTGCCAAATACTAAGGCAAGCAGGAACCATGCAAAGATCCGTGGTTCGTAATCCCTGCCCCTAAGTATCTCAACTGAGTGGAGAACACTGACCGGAAAATAAACACAAAATATGGGAACTTCAATAGAAGAAGTTTGTGCAAGGTTCTGAATTTAGGAAATTATTCAGATAGCTCTAAAGTCCCTACTGCTATCTGGTGACAGCATACCTAAGTCCATCTTTTTTAATGTAATAAATATTCTCTTAATGGTTGAGTTATGAGAATGAAAGTGATAGACACGCCAGCGTTCTGTTATGTTCTGAGCAGTTCTAGGAATTCTAGAGACACCTGAGATATCATGGCATAGATAGGTTAACAGCAATTGGAAGCTCTACCTATGTACACTTAGACTTAGTAATTCACTTAGAAAAAGAAAAAGCAGACATAGGTTCTTTGTCTCGTTTGCTTCCTCTGAGTCTGGCATGGTATATGCATACACCATCTTATTTGACACTCAACAGTAACCCTGTGGGGTAAAGATTATTATCCCTTTCTTATAGAGAAGGTCATAGAACCCAAGAAACTAAGCAACTTGCCCAAGGTCATAGAGCTGGCAAGAG